GAAAGATCTGTGTCTTGGATGACACCAGTCTTCGAGCCATTCTCTACGGCTGCCAACGACTCAAGACATTAGCCATCGATATGTTGGCCCAGACGACGGTCACCGATCAGTCCATCTCTTGTATACCCGTTTGCTCGGCGTTAGAGTCGCTGGAAATCAGTCATAACCAGCAAATCACAGCCCAGACACTCATCCAAATGGTGACCCAATTGCCACAATTGAGTGCATTGTCTCTGAGACACACGAAGGCCAACAATAGTGTGGTCTCCACTGCCATCGCCCGGTGCCCACCACTGCACAGACTGTGTGTCAATGGCTGCAAACTCGTCACCAAGAAATCGTTGGTTGAGTTCATCGGAAGCGCCAAATTGAGACCACAGACCAGCTTCGAGTTCGAGGCCATACTGTCGGGCATCTCGGGCACCGGTATCTACAACAGAAACCGGTCACAAATCGGAGACATTCCGGCGAACGTAGCGTTCAAAGTGAGCGCCGGTCGCACCCGACACTACCTCTGAAGTTCGAGGCCATACTGTCGGGCATCTCGGGCACCGGTATCTACAACAGAAACCGGTCACAAATCGGAGACATTCCGGCGAACGTAGCGTTCAAAGTGAGCGCCGGTCGCAGCCGACACTACCTCTGGTGTGAGTCATCCAGATTTGATTACTCCAGAAATCCAAAGACTATTTGATTTGTTTTATTCAGAGATTAAAAACAAATAGTCATTGAATTACAACTGTATTTATAATGTATTTATAATGTATTTCATAATGTATTTCATAATTTTTTAATTTAATTTTATGTTCATTTTATAATTAATGCATAATATAACTTTATCTACTGTATAATTTTAATTTAAAAATTAGCTGGATGTCTCAAACTGACAATGGTAGTAGTTGATGGCCACAGGTTCACCTAAATTATATTTTCTAGCAAAAGATCTGACATCGAAAAACAGCCGGCCCTCAAGACTATAAGTATTGACAATCTTGCTATCAGTTTCGATAATATCCGGCTGTTTGTACACTAGAAACACATATCTGTGAGGACCAGTACCTCTCGCGGGTCCCGAACTCTGATATTCAGTCAAATCTCGCCCTCTCTTGATGTCAGTCCCGGGAATATTGACGACAACCCAATGTTTGTATTCTCCATATTTAGGTCCATTGCGACCAAACACATCCGGATCAGTCAGTACTAGTGTATAGTAATTGCCATAATCTGCGGCCCACTCGACCAATGGTTGTTCGGCCACTTGAGTCGGGGTCACCTCATTGCCTAAGTTTATGTCAACCCCTGAACGATATCTCACCTAAAGATGTGTTCATTTAATTGATTGTTTGGTAATAATTAAAGATTAAACAAAATAATCGATACATTGATGACACCGTTTGGCACCGAATCGATGACATCGGGAACAATACCATCGAGTCTTTGCAGTGAAGGTCTTCTGTTGGCGAATATCTTGCTTTCGGTCTCCTCTTCGCTCATACAATGAGTGAACAAAAATAATATGAAAATTATATTAATTTTTAAAATCATATTTAAATCAAATGCTTTTAATTGTAATGTTTATTTGGATTTATATCGAAGTTGTTTTAGAAAATTGTCAATATTTAACAAATATACCGAGTTTATAATATCAACATAAACTTTATATCAACTTATACTGAGCAACACTTAAATTAAACACATTTATTTAATGTTATCAAATAATCTGTTTTAACAATTTTATTCTCTCACTAACACTTGAATAGTATTTTTAAAAATATTTATCTTGAAGATATTTGTAATATTTGAGACCCATTTGGGACCAAACATTTTTAGTCAATACTTTGCATTAACATCGGATAGACTTCTCAACTTAAATAGGGTTATCAATACATACAATGCAATATTTGTAATAAATAAACCATTATTAAAATAATTTTAATTATATATTGTATAAGCTTGCTAATGGTTGCAAGTGATCACAAATGGCAAGAGTATTGTCTTTCAGCACCGGATGTGTTCAGATCGGGCCAAACAGTTGAGGATTGAGGGGAATGTTGTGGTGAAGAGGATTGAGTTCAGACACGGAAAGCATTATCACTGCACACAACGGGACTACTATTGAACACATAATATGGTTATAATATTATTGACCATATATTATTATATTACATTATATAATACATTACATTATATTACATTATGCCTTATTAAATAATATTCTAATCACTATTAAGTAATGCATAAGTAATCCATTTGGAATCATCCTGATACATTCATCCAGTGCTAAGATAAATGGATTTAAAGTTTACAAATTTTAAAAGGAAATATTTATTTAAAAATCAACAAGGCATATCAAAGTTATTGTGCCATAAACCCTTAGTTGAAATTTTTTGTTATCTAGCTCAATTCTAACCTATATTAAATCTAACACAACGAGTTTGAAGTATTTAGGCGAGACTTTAATGTTATTATTTTTTAATAATTAAATAATTATAATTTTGTTTTATTCAATAAATATATAATATTTGTATATAATTAAAATATTTAATGTTCACGATAAACTTATAAGTTATAAGTTATAGTATACTTATAATTATAGTTATACTTATAATGTTATAACTTATAACTATTCTAAATTATTGATTTTAATTATTGTCTCTATTACACAAATGACAAAAATTATGAATTCATATAACTATAATATTCATTACTAATATTCTATAAGTTATAGATCCAGATAACTTGCTCAATAAAAGCGAAAGGCACACATTTCCACCCAGTTTACCCAGTTTATTCCCAAAATAATGTTCATAGAGTAGTTATAACCGAAGTAATTTGAAATAAATGATCTTGCCTTAACCGAAAATGCATTTTGTATATTTTTAACGGTAACTTAAGCTTATTTAACTCATAATACATGCTTTATTAATATAATTATCACGATTCTGTTCATTCTTATTCCTATTACATTATTATAGCCAACATATTTGATTTATATAATAATTCTTGTACTTTTTCAATTTGTGTTGATTTTAATGAGTTTATCGTAGAAAATAAATGTCACCTAAAAGTTAAATAATTAACACAAATTGAATAGTTAACGGAAAATAAGTTGAACTGAAATTTGCATTTTTAGCAATTTATTAAATTTATAAATAAATGATTAGAAAATAGAAAAAAAAGTTTTTGTTTCATGAAAATCGTGATTTGACTGTACTATCAAAGCCGCACATATGTTACACGTCATATACGGCGCTGCTATCGTAGTTTATTCGTACAAAATGTTCATGTTCATTGCCACCCTCATTAACAAGCTGTATTTATACTGATAGTTTAACATACTCAAAGTATTTAGATACATATAAAGCAAGCAAAATCTACACTTATTATTGTTTTTTAAATTACAAGATAGGTTGTTAAAATGTCTATTTGAATACTATTTATCATGCTATACCTGTGTGAATGGCCCCCGCAATGATCCCACTCATCTATATTTAAGACATACTTTATGAGTGACTCTAATATTATATGAGTTTCTGTTTCTCACAAACAGTTCATTGAAGTGTTGTTTGCTTTCAATGGGAAACCAATTCAACACAAGTCTTACATATTTTACATACACTTTGCACTCATTATTATACACTAAATATTGTTCACTATATTTTTGAGTTCACTATTAGAAAAATTATTATTAAATACAATTGAATATTATGGATAAATGATAACAAATGTAAAATAATCTGAATAACTAATAAATGAGAAAACCATATGTGTGTGCGTTATATGTATGGTTCACTGTATGCGCGTAGTGTGTGGACAGTGTACAGCTCATACAGTGCAACTCAATAACTGTGACACAATTGGTGGTGAAATGAGTGGTTCAGAAATCTCTATATGAACTACACGTCAATAGTTTGGCACTAATTGTGTATTCATTGCCACAAACGAGACAACACTTGCAGTGCATAGCCATCACCGCCACCACCGCTGCCACCCTGAGACACATCACCACCCAATTGGTCCCATAGATCCCACACTCACTCCAGTAGCCAACCCGTGAGACACCGACCGACACGATGGGCATCAAGAGGAGGACGGGCACCGCGAAGTCGCCGCCCATACTGTCCCACGAGTTCGTGATCGCCAATCACGCGGACATTGTCTCGTGTGTTGCGATGGTCTTTGTCTTGTGTCTGCTATTTCAGGCCACATCACCCATCGCTTCCATGTTTGTGGCGCTCCAGCACAACATCACCGATGGTTTGTATCCATTGGCGTCACTGCCAGACACGTGTACTCATTGTGTCTCATCTGTTCCCATGTCTTAGTGTTCACGTCAGAAGTGGTTCACTACACGTATGGCGTCAAAGACCTGTGTATTGTCTTCTTCTACTTCTTGATATCCATTGTTATGCATGCAGTCATCCAGGAGTACCTCTTAGATGTGAGTTCACACATGCCTGTCCTCACCATATGTGGACACAACACATACACACATACATTGATTATCATATAAGAGTGGACACCGTTTTAGTGATAATTAACTCACGCTTTTGTCCGACATTTAAATCTCTAATTGATCTCAAAATTGAGTGAATGACACGAACCTTGAAATTCATTAATTGCTAGCAAACTATGATTGAAATCAGACTTTTAGCCACTATTAGCACAAACATTATCTCAAACTAATGACACAAACACTTAGCAATTACTCGTGAGTACTGAGTGTTGAATATCTTGTAATGGATTTGTTGACTAATTGTGCAGAAAGTGAACCGAAAGCTGCACTTATCGAAGATAAAGCACTCGAAGTTCAACGAATCCGGACAACTGCTCATATTCTTCATCATATCCATCGCGTGGGCCTCAGAGATCATCCGCCGCGAGGGATACCTCACGTCTATCAGCAAACTATGGGCCGATTACCCGCACCTGGAGATGACTTATTTGTTTAAATTCTATTTCATTATACAAATCAGCTATTGGTTGCACGCCTTCCCGGAGCTGTACTTCCAGAAAGTCAAGAGGGATGAGATGGGCGCCCGTATCACATACGCCACCCTTTACGGCATATTCTTCACGGCCGCCTACGCTCTCAAGTATGACATTCACTCGCATGTGTGCCATTCATTTGGTCCAATGTAGTGATTATAATATTATATATTCAATGAATTGTTGTTTTTTTAATCAATTGTTTTGTGACCAAAATCTGTGGTTTTCCTAATTGTATATTATTTTGTAATCATTTATTAATTGTATTTATTTTGCCAACAGTTTCACTCGCATTGCTATCTGTCTATCGATACTTCACTATTCAGTGGAAGCGCTCTTTCATTTGTCACGACTTTTATATTTTGCCGACAAATTGCAAATTGTTAACTATAGGTACAGTCAGACATTGATCCAGATTATGATCACAAGCTCTTCATTATGATTAAACAAATGAGTTTTGTGTATAGTTTTAAACTGTGGAACGTATTGTTCGTTTTGGTGCGGTTGGGATCCATCACACTATCGGTGCTGACCTTCTGGTATGGATTAGCCACACATCAAACCACACAATTCAATGTCGCCGAAGGAAACTTCAACACTCAGATCATTAGGTATTCTCTATGACAACGAGTCGTCTTTTCAGACAATCAAATGCTATTTATAAGTAAAGCACTGGTAATCTCAATAAATGCCTCAAATATCAATTGAAAACTGTTTTTGAGTTTAATCGCAAACAATATTAGCGGCACTACTAGCGAATCAATTGGATTCATATCAGTATTTATTGAGATTATACTGTAGTATAGTATTTGTGATGATAGCAAATGTATGAATTGAATAGCGGACTAATGTGTGTCTGATGTGTGTGTCTGTGTCTATGTCTATGTTAGGATCAACTGTTTGGCGGCCGTATGTCTGTTGGAGGCCTGGATGATGTGGAACTTCATTAACTTCCATTTGCGACGAATGCGCGAAAAGGCCGCCGAAGCGGCCGCTCTCCGCAAGAAGAGCGCCGGCGGTGTCCGCAAGAAACCCAAGAAGACCGAGAAGGAAGACGTGAGCGAATTGCCTGAAGTGGACCAGAACACCAACAAAGGGCTCATCCATCGGCCCAATAAGGCGTCGCCTAAAGTCAAATAAACCCTTTCACACACAAGGCCTCCAAAAACGTGTCGACCATTTGTTTTATTGCGGAACTGATCCACTGATTGATTGTTTGATGGAGTGTCTGATTGGAGAGATTGTAGACATTGTTTAGTATTTCTTAAGTGTAATCCATTTCCTCTCTTTCTATACTTTTCTCGACTTTTAGTAATTGTATCGCAAAAACAGTTCAACTCTTTTCTCGAATTTTTATGATTTTTAGAAATCTTTTATAAAGTCTTCTGTGAATTGACTCGAATTTAGTCTTTATATTGATTTTGGTTTTTCATACCTCTCTGTCCTCTCAATACTGTTCCCTTTATTTCAATGAGTTATTGTTTCAGAAAACTATTACCAAATTATTAATCAATTTATTCCATATTTTTGATA